CCTTTCGATTGCCGCTGGCTTTTCATTACTTTTCTATCAACGTACTTAGGCCATTGTTGTGCAGTTATTTAGCACAATCAACACCCGATGCTGCCGAGGGTCGACACCCCCACCAGCCACCCATTTGATTTTCCCTTTGTCTTAGCTTCACTTAGAAGGGATATCCTGCTACTTGGGGCAGCTTAGTAAATTTTATCAATGGCAAACATTTCTCCGGGACTGCACCCCGCATCCTGATGGGTGTTCCACCTGAAGGCAAGATCCTTTGTACATTCACGTTCCAGTGGAGATGCACACAAAATTAATGGAAATTGCTCTGCACAATGTACGGAGCAATCCACTCGGAGCCAAGGAGGAGACAGAGGTATTAAAAAATTAACAAAAAGCCAGCCTGAAAGTGGCTAACTGGAACTACAAGCTGGCCCCGACTTGAAGGCATTCCATGTAATTGTTGCATGTCCTGCCTCCCGCCTGCGATTGCATTCAATTGGAATTATCTATGAATGGCCGAAGGGACAGAGAACAGAGGAGTTGGAATTGTAGGCGATAAAGGATAAGGCAGCTGATGGCAGTTGGGCGCCCACTGATTGCTCAGGGATCTTGTGGGCTCTTGGACAAGTTGTTAAGCGCTTAACTTGGGCTACAAATTGTGTAGAAACAGTCGAGGGCTGTCGAAAGGTTGGATTAGATTTTAAATTACAGGTAAGGTGAGCTCTAAAGGATTTTAGAGCGGTTTGATTGCACATGTATTTATCTTTATTTACCGATTAATTGACGCTCCCTAAAGTATGCAATATGTAATTGTTATGTGCTCTATAGCTACGATCATTTATAGCTATTTAATTTGGCTGCTAAGTAGATATTATTTTTAAACAAAAAACTCGTAATAACTGTTAATAATAATGTCTTCTTAAGTTATTTAGGTAAATATCCAACAGCGATGGATATTATTTTTATAGGCTCAGAAAGTTTTAATTTATTTCTCAACCTAGGTACAGATCTTAAACTTCTTCAAAACAAAATTAAATATTTAGTAATTATTTTGCTCATCGGCTAAATTCAATTCCCATCGATTTGCTTGTTTCTTAATTTTCTCGCTTCTTGTTGATTAGTTTTAAATGAGTTTCGCTGGCGGCATTGCTTGACTAAACCCGCTGCCGCCTTAACCCTTTACACCCGCCTGCCCTGACTGATATTTACGCGCCTTGGCTGATTGAAGTGTAATCAGCAGGCAGTCAGTCAGCGAGTCAGTCGCTCCCTCACTCAGTCAATCAATCGGAGAAGCTGCGGGCCATGTATTAGCAGCTGAATGAAATGTAAGTGAGCAAATCGTAATTAAAATTGCGCCCATCAGCGGCAACAGAGGCAAAAACAAAGCGAAGCGGGCCAACAACAAACGAGGCAGCAAAGTACGCTCGAGGACGCAAACAATATGCATTAGAGCTGAACGCGATGAGGGGCGTGGGAAAGTGGGTGGTGGGTGGTGAGGCGGGAGCGGGTCAAAGCACTCGACTGTCTGATGGCAATGACGTTGACAGAGACGAGACACTAATGAAAATGCATAAGCAGTTGCAGTCAAGGGAAAACAGAAGCTGAAAATGGGAGTACTGCTGTCAGGGACTGCAAATGTTCCTGGAATTGGAATCGTAAATGGACTATACACTCACATTTTTTTTTTGTATTATATTAACCAAAAAAATTAACCCTTTAGAAGATCTTGCCAACATTTAAAATCTTATTCATATTTTCGTCAATTTTGTTTGGATATTTAATCACATTTGTCGTCAAAACAAGTGATGTGAGTTATTTTTTATTTGTAGTTATAATTTATACATTTATTTATATATATATTTTCCAAAAACATATTAAAATGGAAAACATTTTAATTTTTTTTTATCGGAATGTATTTTAAACGAAATATGATAACTCCAAAGATAAGGTAAGTGAAAACATTTTCAATTCTTCGCTTCTGAAGCTCGGCCAGCGAAAAGGGCGGTAAAAAAAGGAGTAACAGGATAATGAGGATTGCGGAGTGGCAGAAAGGAGTTGGCGCATTGAGAATGCGACTGCAAAACAAATGCTAAAATGGGCAGGACAAAAGATGAAAGCGGCTCACTCATAAATGGGGTGACACAAGTGAAAAACGAGGCTGGAGGGGGGTAATGCAGTGCACTCGTCATATGTGTCTCTGTCTGATTTCAGTTTGTCTCTGTCACTCACTCAGGCACTCAGTCCTGTCTCTATCGCCTTTGTCAAGCAGCCCCGTCACCCCGTCGCCCCGTCTCGCTTGCGCCCTCTGATCCGGATTCTGAGTCTCCGTCCGGGCTTAAATCAAAGTGAAAAGCGTGCTAATTGCATTAAAAGCATATAAACAAAATGCAATGCAAGTGGCTGTGATAAATATAAAAAGCAACAGCCCAGGCCCTGAAAGGCCCTCGACTGAATGTCACTGTATGTGCACCATATATTTCCCCATCTCTCTCGGTTCGCCCCGTCCCTTTTCAGTGCCCTTTGTGCTGTGAAATTAAGCAAATAAGCTAGGGCAAAAAAGTTCTGGAGATCCAAATGGCTTTGTAGCCCCTTGAAAAGCCCTTTTCACATTTTGAAAAGCTTTAAAGGACTCGAAAAATTTGACCTACGAAATGGTTGCCACTAATTCCATTGAAATCATTGGATAATAGCTAATCAGTTCAGTTGAGTTTAGGAAAGGTTAACGACAACTCAAGTTAAATTGTTCTTATCAACGTAAAGTTAGTGTAGCACTTCATTTTATAATAAAAAAGAGTTGATGAAGCTAAATGTAAATATTACTTTAATAATGTTAAGTTGACAAGTTACCAAATCAAAGTTTATTTGATTATTTGCGTTCACTAGTAGAAAACGTTGCGTATACTTAATGTGCTTTAGAATATAGCTCTTTTGATAGTTTGTTTTGTTCAAACCTGATATGATATGATATTTGTTAAAAAATATATAAATATTTTTAATAAGCAAAATACGCGGCAGTTAGTTTTTCATTTCTTGATGACTCTGTTAAGTTTATTCCAAGGCAGCAAAGACTTTATTTTTTACAATAAATTCCCATTAATGTCTGATTTCGGCCCACAAATAGTCCGGGATCCTTGAAACTTATCAAAATACATTTTTCTGGAGTATTCCCAAGTCATTAACCCGCCATTAAGAAAGCAGTCTGGATAAGCAAGAACACAATATGAGCTGCTCACATTTATGGTTGGCGATACGAATGTTCTTAACTGCATGTACTCAGGCCTTGGCTGAGCTATGAGTCCGACGCTTTATAGCACCCAATCACGACTGAAAATGAAGAAAGCACCGCATGCGTAGCGAAAATTCAATCGTACAATGTGTTGATATATGACACGTAATCAAATGTTTAAGTGCATGGCACACGCATCGCCAAGTCAAGGAGCCCAATCTCCCATGTTGAAAATATGAACAGAATCTATAGAGAGGGTGGCCTGGGTACACACAGCAAATCCGACAAGTAAATATAATAACAATAAAATGAAGCAACGACATGAATGCCATCGCAGCGCCAAGGCGAGATATTATGACACTGCCAGCAACAATAAAAAAGTATAACAGCGAAAAGAATGCCCGGCAAGGACAATTGCCGGCACGAATCTTTTCCCCGTTCTCTGTTTTCTGTTCCAGGTCAAGAGCGCTCACAATGAGGACGATGACAAGGGGACGCGGCGTGGGAAAATTCCGACAAAAACAAGTCAAATGGATTGGAAAATGGCATACCCTGTCATCCATAAAATATGCATTTTCAAGTCATAGTGTCATAGCTATAAATTTTAGGCCATAAACAAAGTTAGAATAGAGAATGGTTATTTGAGAACGTTGATATTTGAAATAGTATATTTCACTCAGCAAGATAAAAAGAATACTTCAGTTAGAAATGGTAAAAAAGCTTAAAAGCTTATCATTAACTATACATAAAAATAAATTAAATTTTTACAAATTAAAAATACAAGATAATTCTTACCTTTTGCTACTTACCCTATAAACCCCCTCTCCTGAAAAACACAGGGTAGTAAAGACGACAAAGCAGAGGCCCTGAAAATATGTTGGCAGTTACTTCCTTGGGGCGGTGCCAACAACAATCAGGCACTCTCGTTTGATTTTTTTGCATTCTTTATTTCTTTAAAGACTTAATAACATTCATTATCCGCATTTAATTTACACTGCTACACAGGGTTTTTTGGCTTAAGTTCTCTATGGTTGGATATGATTTCGCTAGTTATGGTCTTAGTCTAGGTAACATTTAACAATTTGCTCATCGTACATGAGAGAGACAAAGATTTCCTCAGCGGCGATATGCCTTAAGGTGTGCGTCATACATTTAAGTGCAATAAAATCATTTTAATATGTGTGAGGTGTGATTGTTTTAATCATTCCAATTGAAAAGGATTTTACACAGTCAAATCCTGAATGAATTTAAACATTAGGTAAGACTTGTTGTGTTCTTTAACAAATACATAACACGTATTAATTAAAATCTAAAATAAAGATATTTTTACAATACTGGAATTAAAATAAAAAACTCTAAATACATACTAGTTTTGGATTTTAAAATTTGGAAATAAAAATTTCATAAATAATTTTAATGATTAATCGAATGATGTATAGAATGTATTTAACTTGTACAATTAATTCTAGTATTCTGTTGGCTACATTACTTACTAAGCTTTAATTGAAATCAAGTTCTAAGTCTATAATTTGTGTTTTTTGTCCTTTATTGATTCAACGTCTATAAATGTTATCTTAAAATGTAAATAGCTCAAGAATCTCTATTAGTTTTATTTCTTATATTTTACATTTTTGGCTACTTACTTGAGATTAATCATTTTTACAGTTATGCGTACCATTGAAAATAAGTTTTCACTTTCTTATTCGTAAAGCAATTTCATAGCCAACAACTTTGAGCATTTTTCCTAAGACCGACAAGCAAAAGAAGCCCCAAGAGGAACAACGACATTTCAATGCTTTACTAATGAATGTTTTATATAAATACAGTAAATATATGGATATGTACATACACTAGTTAGGCGAGACGCACACGCGGCGTATACTTGATGTGACAAAAACTTGAAATATTTACAAAGAACTTAATAGGGTTTTAGGCCATAATACCGCCTCTTTTGATGCCGCGACTGTATATTTGCTTTTCGGTTAATTGTTATCTACGCTGACCAGCCTTCTCGCAGCCTAATTGAGTCGACAGGCTGCTCCTGTTTGTGTTGCTCCTGCTGATGTTGCTGCCACTAATGCTGCTGCTGTGGATGCCACGGCTGGCATAACTCCTCCGACAGCAACTTCCCTCGACTGCCGGTCGAAGGCTACACAGAAATGCTATTAGGACTGGCAGCGCGTAGAGGGAAATGCGTGCAATTGATTTGGAAGCTAATATGCGTGACCAGGGCACCGATGAGCCACACCAGACCGCCCCAAATGGCGCCAAAGTTGATGTTGCACTGGACGAGGCAGCTGCCGCTGCTGAAGTTGCCGCTGCAGGGCGTCGGCTCTTCTTCAGTTGTTTGTCTAGTTTGTGGATTCAAAGCGGGTCAGAGGTCAAAGGGGGTTATTCATTGAGAGTGGACCGGATGGTTGGGAAAAGTTTTGTGGACACAACTGTTGCTGCTGCACTCGAAAAAAATAGCCTTACTCTTCCACATTTGTGTGTTAGGAAATCCCTTCAAAGTTAATTTAAAAATGCATATTTGTCCTTACATCACCAACAAAACTAAATAAAACAGAAAGCGTTATTTACAATTCAAATTAAAAAGGAAATAATCTTATGTTAACACCTAACAAATCCTGTTTGCCATAGGTTGCAAAATAAAAAAAAATAAATATTTGAATTATCAAACAATAAAGAATGTTTTTTAGACAAACAAACTTCCAAGATTCTTGTGCTTGCTAAAATATATATTTTTTCGAGTGCACAACCGCTGTTGACCAGCTAACCGACGGATGATTGATGATAACTCACCTTCGAGCGAAGACTGTGCCTTCTCCATGGACTGACGTGACTTGGACATGACCGTCTCCCGCGACTCCAGGACCGGAATCCTCTGGTGCTTGTCGCTCTCCACACTCTCCTCGTTGCTCTGCCAGTACACGGAGGAGATTTTGGCGACACACTGCAGTCGGATTATGGCCGGAAAATGCAAGAACGAGCAGGGAAAACTTTCATCAAATCTGTGTACATTGATAAATGAGTGGGGGGCTGTGTGGGAAATGGGGCAACGACGGTGGATTGGCCATCCTCTTGACGGCGTAGTAAAAGTTTTATGCTTTCATTAACTCTCCCCACGCGGCCAAATAACCCGAAAATGACCCGCATACATCTCCGCAGGACCCACACAAATATGCACACCAGCACACCCTGCGTCACCACATATGCAAACGGACAGTGACCCACACGGTGGCCTAAGGTTGCTGCACAGTGGGCTTAAGTTAGTTAGCTAGGAGCTTAAAAAAAGGGTTAATAATTGCAGCCATTTTCAAAAAATTGCAAACTTTTTTTTGAATAGAATTTGAAATACAATTGCAGACTCAATTAACTGTCGTATCACTACTATTATATTGTTTGCCTTTTAATAATTAATAGATACCAGTTAAAAAAAAAAAAATAATTTGTACAAGGTTCAAACTCCAATGAAATAAACATTTTTAATATAAAGGAGTACTCTAAATACTGTTGCGGGGTAGCAAAAAACAAACACTTACTATGGAAATACATTTAAGGAATTTAAAATCTATTTTACTATATTTAAAACCACTGTCCATACTGGACATGTCAGAAGAGCACTTCGTCAGACGCCCGCGTTCGCATGAAATTTTGTGGCTTGTTCAACATACATTTGCACTCGCAGTGGTGCGGGTGGTTGGGTGGTTGGGTGGCTCAGGGGCTCAATGGCTCAGTGGAGCGGTTCCGTGGGGTGGGGGTGGCCGGTGGCTGAGTGGCTGGCCAACTTGGTCCGAATGGATAATAATCAACATGAGCTGCCATGTTATGTTGTCGCAAATTGAATCAGAGCAACAGTGCGCTGGCAAATATGTATGAGATGGGATATCGGATGAATGAATGTATCAATTTTCATGGCCTGTCCGGGTAGCCAATAATCAGCTTACTTGAAATCCTTGAAGGGAACTTTCTGTTTGACCCCCAATATAGTTAAGTACTTTTAATATACATAGGACATGTTTTTAAAATTCAGAGAATATAGTGTGAAGTTTTGTATTTAATAAATAATAAATAATAATAAGTATTTAGAACAAATACTCGACTTTTAGTAATATCATTAAATTAAAATAATTATAAATATATCATATATGTATTAAGTTTTGCCAAATAATTAAATACCATTTAGTGACTTGAATTTTAAACTCACCTTTAGCTTCATGTCGCCGTGCTTGAAATGTCATCCGCGCACCCGGAACTCCAGTCCCAATCGGGCGACCTCCAGCCCTTCGCGACCCACAACCAAGGGTTCATAAGGTCGCAGCAGCGAGCGATTTGCGTGCATCCCGTTAATCAGCCAGCTGAGATGGCAGACCGGCCTGGAAGCCGCCGAGGTGCAATTGACGCGCACCATGTCGCCAATTTGATACCGCGGCTGTCCGCCAGTGATTTGTGGTCCATGCTTCGGAGTCACTGAAATTGAGGAGAAAATCAATGGTTTCGGATTAGGAGAGTAGAGCTGGTTGTTACCAAGTAAGTGTTCTATTGAAAATGTCCTAAACTGTTTTAATACCCCAAAGCAAAGATACTAAAAAATTGTCATTTCTTTTTTGCATGTATAATTCAATTGTTGTTAAATAAAACCCTTAGGTGCCTTTTGTTATTTGCATTGAAATCACAGTGTCTATACAGTAAAAGTATCGCTTAAAATATAGATGTCAAAAATATCCACATGCGGATTTCACTTTTGTTTTTAAATAAAATCCAAACAAGCAGAAACATTTTGTCACATATTTGAAATAAAGTTGTGTTTGCCAAACAAGATTGATGGTTAATTTGGTTTAAGTTTGTGAACAATTTGTACCCCCCAGCCAATAAGCGATGCCAAATAATGTTTGTGATCCATCATTGGGCAATTAAAACTATTCCGATTCGCAACAAAGAGGGCAGTGCAAATTCAGTTAGAGCTGAACTAAAATGGAAAACAATAATGTTGTGAAAATATCGAAAACATCTCCTTGGTGCGCAATTTTTGATCGTTGTTGCATTTGATTTGTTTCTCGCTGCTGTCGGTTGGCTTTTGTGGGTCACTTTGTGTTGGCCGTTAAGTCCAGCTGCTAGACATATGGAGTGGAAGACAAAGCCATGTCTGCTGGCCGACCTGGCCGACTGCCAATTGGGTCAAAAACTGGAAAAATCGAACATAACTATAGCGAAACTTCAATTAAACATAATCGATAGTTTCGCACTGATGAAAAGTTTGGGAAAGTGAAACGAAACTTCAACGTTTATCGCACAAAAGAATATTTCTGTCACACTCTTTTATCCGCTTCTTAATAACGGTAATATTGCGCCAAGTCTTTGCCAAATACAAACCAAAACGGAAAAAGAATATTTATGAAGGCAACATTGTGAAAAGCATTTTCTGAATTTTCCATTCAATGGAAAATCTTATATTTATTTGTGCCATATATAGCCTTTTCGATTTAAGCTAAGAAGTATAAAATATTATTTATAATTAAAGTTTTACCTTTATTTTTAATTTTAATATAATAATATTATATTGCTTTTCAAAGGTCATACAAATTAATAATCAAGATTTATAAAAGTGTCCGAAATAGGGTCAGATGAAAATTCTCTTTTTTCCTTCAATAAATTTTTCTTTGTCCTTCGTTGGACTTTTCTTTTTGCCTCTCCTTCTTATTGTTCGGCTTAACCGAACTGAACTGCATAAATTATTATTTTCAGCGACTATTTTTACGCTATCCTGACGTTGATTAAGCTGTTGATATTTTGTGGCACTCCTTTTACGATTACTTGCCTTTAATATTTGGCAAAATGTTTAACATTTTCCCCTGGCTATTTGGGTTTGGGTTGAGGAACTAGAAGCTTACATCCCCCGTTGTGCTCTGCTCCAATATCAATTGGTAATAATTGCTGGGCATTTTTATTCTTTAGCCGCCATTGTCCGGCTTTGTTTGCCTCCGAGGGCCTTCAGACAAGGGATCAACATGGATCCAGTTTGCTTTGCGTGGGCCGTGCCCTCGGATTCTCCTTTGTCCTGGACGCGGGTGAACAATGGACTCAATTGAGCAACTGAAACAAATATCTAAGTAAATCGGATGCCTAAATAAACTAACAATTTTTCACCTTAATAGCTTTTTGGGTCACACATCCACACAAAGGGTCGAAGGGGCGCAATTGATTGAAAAGAAACGAGTTGTTGAACTTTTATACCGTTTTATTATTTTGTGGATAGTATTAAGCTATCCCTAAGATTTTCTTTGTTGGGAAAGGTTGCTTTAATTGTTGGTAAAGATTTTACGAACAGGGAAAACATGGATTTGATGACTTCTATTTTTGAGAGGATGCATGTTTTGTTTTGTCCAACTAAACGGGGCGATTCTCGCAGAGATTAAATTTAACCAATTTGTCCCACCGGATGCGGCCATCATATGCAACTGCATCGGGATGACAGTATTTTCCGCCCATTTCCCGCGCACTTCCACCCGGGGAACCTCACGTTTTCAATTTCCGCGCATACACTGCAATTATCGCATATGTCGATTCGCCAGTTGATGCTGTCTAATCTAAGGAACTGGGTCAAACACATTTGCAAACGTCGGGGCGGCTTTTCCCCTCCATAATTGCATTCAATTATTTTAACCACAATAATAGCATTAAGCCCAATAAATTAATTTAAATATTTTCGTAATTTAAATGAGATTTCTAACAAGCAACATAATACATACAGCATTTAGGGAATCTCTCTATTTATCTGTATTTTCTGTCATCACTTTTTCTGGCTTTGCCTTTTGATGGCATCCAGTTTTTCCGCTTTTTCCGGCTCTGAAATTCATTAGGTTTATTGATCTGCAAATCGTCATAGTCATTATGCCTCTGATTTAATCCGCTTACATTTGAACTGAAGAGCGGCTTTTACACTTTTCCACCGCCCCGGGACCCATTCCTCTTCCGATTTTTCTCAATTAAAGTCTAAGCGTAATTGAGTAATTTTCAGCTGAAAACGGAAGCTCTGATTGGCGGACCTTCATCCCTCTCGCTTGCCCTCAGTTGAGGAAATATTTAGTTAGCCTAATTATGCGATATACCAATTTTGATTGCCCCGCTCCGGAACCCTCTCAACATTTCAGTGGACGGAAATGAAGGTGAAATTTACCTGGCTCAAACAATTGTGCCGACTTCTGTCGTTGATAAACATCATCATCATCATCATCATACTGGGGCTTACTGTTGGGATATTTGGGTCCGATATGTTTCGATACTCTACGCGTTTTTTTTGCCTCTCTGAGGGGAGGGGCTTATGTCATCGTTGTATGGTTATGAGGTTTATTTTGGTCCGATGAGTTTGATTATGCTTGCATTTGATATTCAAAAACCATTTCAAATTAATTTGATACATCAAATATTATTTAACAGATTGGTATTACTAAAAAAATACCTTAAATAATGTACTTCATTTTTTGATGAACATTTTTGTCCCTTTAAATCCACTTTAAGCTCATCTTTAAGTGTCGGATGAAACTGAAAATATATATCTCCCCCTCATTTTTCACTGTTATTAAACACGTTTATTCTAAGTTTTCCTCGGCAGCAGTTTTTCATATTGCGTTCGGCCATATTTTTGCGCCATGTTTTGTTGGATTGCGCAAAAATTTCAAATTAAGTTGCAGACCGGGCGAAAGAGAGGGGAGATTGTGAGCGAAAGAGAGCGGGAACGAGTCTGGGTCTGTGGAAAAATCCCGAGCTGTAAGTGAGCAACAGAATTGCATCACGTACATGGGCAATTTGCCAGTGGAATACAATACAACGTACACACACACACATTGAAATTCTGTGTTGGCCAGGAAAAGGATGGCCCAAAATTTGCCTTCTCCCTTTCCCACACTATCTCTATCCCTGTCTCCCTGCAGCCGCTGGCTTTTTTGGCACAGGTTTTCTCCTCGAGAATTTGTAAATCGCAGCGAGAAACAATGCCGGGCATAAACTAAATAAATGTGAAATATTTTATACAATGTCGTAGCGTGGCAAAAGAGATAGGGAGATGTGCAGTGAAAGAGAGGGCTGTACGAGAACGAGACAGAAATAGTTCCTGAGTAAAAGATTACTTTTCGTCGCTTAGTCCGCTTGCTGCAATTAATCTTGCCGCTTTTCTTCTGCCAAACTCTTGCTCTCTCTTTCCCCGAAAGTGTGTCTGTCTCTTTTCTTGTTCCGTCTTTAGCCAGCATTTTAGTGTGCATGTTTAATGTTGGCCACTTTCACTTACCCACAACAATCATGTCCTCGTGACCGGAAACCGTCTGAAACGAAGGCGCCTCGCCGGACACTTCGCAGCGATATCGGCCAGTTGACTGAAGGCTAACTGAGCGCAGGACAACAACCACGTCCGTCGAGTTTTGTAACTGCAAGAAAAACGCGAGGAAAAGAAGGTCAAAAACCGCCGAAACAAAAGTTAAATGTTTCACAAAAATGGGTAGACATTTGGATTTATTTCCAAAAGTTAATATGAAGCAAAAACATTATTATTATTAAAGGACACCCGAAATAAGTTAACCGAAATAGAAATGTCAAGATTGACTTTTATTTTGTGGGGACAAAAAAGATAAATAAATGTCTATATGCTTGCCTCACAATTTAAAGTACTGTAAATACCTTTTCTGAGCAGTATTTCTTATTTTCCAAATGTATATATTAGCTTTTTCTCATATGAAATGAAAATTTAATCAAATATATGATTTTTATGATCTATTTTCTGACTATCGCCCGTCTTAACATTTTCTTCGCCATCGCCCAAGTCTTCTACCTCATCTACATCTTCATCGTTTTCGTCATCCTCCTCATCCTCATCCTCATCGTCATAGTTATCTTCTTCATCTTCATTTTCGCCTTCATCTTCCTCAACGAGAATGGAGTCAGTAAGAATCTCAATCATCTCCCCAAGATCCTCATCCTTTACGGGCATCACCTCATCAAGAGATTCTGCTGTAGGCGAAATATGGAATGTACTCATCGAATCCCTGAATTTGATGGCATCTTCTAGGTGCAGGATGCTCAGATCCTCCTTGTTATTCCGATTCCGTTCAATTGGATCCATGAGAGGCTGGCGAATCTGGTCGGCGATCAGACGGACGACGTCTTCATGATCGATGGGCGGCACAGAATCCTCCAGCGATTTCAGTAATTTCGATTTCCTATTGCTCATTATTAAAAACCAAATAATATCCTAATAATTTACTTTTGTGAAAATTTGAATTTCTTATATATCAAGTTTGTCATTGATTTCAATGAGGAATGATTTAATTGGAAAAGGAATAAATTTATGAAAAATTTTAAAACTTTAATGGAAAATTCATTTTATGCTCTCTAAATATTTTACTTATTATTACTGTGGTACTAAAATTAACTATTGGAATACTCTAGTTAAGAGATTTCCCTGCTTAACACAAAAAACATCAACAGGTTATATTTTTTTAAATATTTTGTAACTTTCCCTTACCTCTACATCGACGCCGGGCAGGGGAAAAACCTGTCCCGGGGGCATGTCCCTGGGCACATAGCGATAGAACTCGAAGCCATCCTTGTACCACTTCACCGAGTACAGTGACTCCCCGTCGAGATCGAACTTGCAGCCGAGCGCGGCGTCCTCGTGGCGCATTATGTGCTTGGGGATTTTGATTTCGGTCATTGTCAGGCATTCCGCGGAATCTGAAAGACGTAAGTGGGGGGAAAACAAATGGTTATTCACTAGAAATTCAAGCACTTAAATAAGCCCATAGTGGCGGGCTGGTTTCGCGGTTTCAATGCCAGTGGCAGGACATAAATAACTTGCAGCAAGTGCATAAAAGTCAAGGAAATCGAAGGAGAGTCGCTGTCGCCTCCCAATGCAGACTAGAACAATGCGCTTTTGTTTTGCCAACACAATGGTTGGGTTGCCTGGCAGGGAAAGTGAAGGCGACTAGCTTGAGCAACGTGTCCTGGTTGGAAAGTCGTTTCCCGGGCTAAGATGCTGCCAGGGTGCTGCCACAGTGCTGGCAGGCAGTGGAAAAGCTCTTGGGCCCCGGCGTAATAACTCAGCACTCGAGACAATGCAGCAGTGAAATGAAAAGTTGCCAACTTATTTAACAGCCCAAGACAAAGAAGGAAAACCGTGTGTAGGCCCTTCCGTTCACAACTGGGAGGGCAATTTGGGTCACGCAAATCGAGATATGAAATTAATATTGCAGAGCCGAAATGAGCAGTTGGAAAGTGGGGCAATCCGTGAGGGAGCATCGAAATGTGCAGCTAAAGCAGTCCGAGCGGCAATCCCTGCAATTTTTGGCCATTTTTGATCCTAGTAATTTGTTTTTTGGCAAACAATTTAAAGGATTAGAATAATTTAACTATAGAGTTTTTAAATTTGTTAAACAGCTTAAAAATCATTTAGAATTTTGACTTGTATATATTTGCTTCATAGTTTAGAGTTTTTAATTAATATTAATATTATTTTTATTATTTTATTTTTAGTATTGTCGTTAAGTAATTATGCCAATCGGTTTTACATTCTTTAGGCTTAACTCCCTAGTAAACATAAGTACCTGTCATTAATTTTCTTATTCTCCATTAGCATGTCTTGCGTCACAAAAGTGAGAAAGGTAAATTAAACTAACTAATCCCTTTATTAAGTCATCGTAACCACTAATGTAATTCTCCGACCAGCTTACACAATTATATCCAAGTGTCAACGCTTTGTTGAAATCCAATCAAATCAAAGGCACAAGAAAGTCTTCGCCGTCAAGTCAAAAATAGAATACAAAGCAAATCCCACACTTGCTTATTAAGTCCGTCAACAGCTTCGAAGTTTATTTTTGGGCAAGCATACAAATAACAAGGCAATAATGTTTAAAAATACAATTGTGGGCGAGAGAAAATAGGCTTGTGCCTAAAAATATGTACAGAATTTCATTACAAAAATGGAAAGACCGCCTTAAAGGCTTTTTGACGTGGGTTTGTTTTATGGACCGACAGGATACAATATGCTAAAAATAACTTTAAAAACTCAGAAACAAACTTAATTAAGGAACAAATTTGTTTTTGTACCACTCTTGTATAAATTATGTATAAGATTGAATTTTACAGTGCTTGTTTCAGGCTTTTCTTTCTTTGTAGGGTATTGAAAGCTTCGAATCCTGACTGAGTCCTTGGCTTCCTGCGTCTTTGTGGTCGTTCAACCAGTCCGCCAAACGAAGCGACAAACAAACCAACCAACAAACAAATGGAAAGCACAATGCACAAAGGCAAAGAAAAAAGAAGAGCCGCCGCCATTGAAGCCGATGACGATGTGGTAGATGTTCAAGCAAATGGTGGGTGACCAGGAAGTGGGCGTACTGCCACGCCCTCCGTGGGCTTTGCTCCTTTGAGTGCATTTCCGCTTTGCGGCGGCGGCGGCGGCGTCGTTTGAGTTCCTTTTTTTCCGGCCGGTGCGTGGCTCCGCTTTGGCGGACACTTTGTGAAATGTTTTTCGCCTGTGTGTGCGGCTTAAGTATAATTTAGCATTTTGCACTCTCCAGTAGTTTGTGTACAGCTGCCTGCCTCGTTGGCGGAAGACAAACAAAGTGCGTTGCCAAAAGGTTTCCATCGCACAAAGGACCCCTGCCAGTGGAAAACTCCTATGTGAGCCATTTTCTTGACGAAGTAAAAGAATTTTTAAGGAAACGCTATGAAAACATCCTTGGGGCCAAAAGAATTCATAAGAAGTAAAACGCGTAATTTGACTTCAAAAATGTTTAACATCCTAAGAAGTATTTTTTATGTTTGAATGTAACAACTTAACCAAAAGTAAAGTGCTAAAATAAATCTCATGCATTAATTCAATTTTCTGCAGATAAATCTGTTACAAATTGGAAATGTCACAATAACATATTGCCTGGCCAAAAGTTTTTTTTCGTTAAAAAAGTTTTGTGATGTTGGCCTGGGTGATTTTTCTTGTGATTGGTTTGCATGTAAAGTTCTCGACTAATAATTTTTTCAATCACTTTTTTTGCAGCTGAGATTTGTATAATTTCTTCGAGTGCTAATGAAAAGTGCATCCTTAAATATGAACCAATTTGTGTTTTATATGAAGATTGCGGTTTCACATTGAATAGCAAATGCTTGATAGACATACATAACAAGTTTAAACTAAATGGAAATAATCCACGTAAGCATATAAATATAAAAATAAGCATATAAATACAAAACTATTACTGAATTGTTTTCAGCAATGAATACATTTATTCCTGGAGCTTGTCCGAAGGATAAAAAAACGTGCCCTTACAGTAAAATTCTTCCAGGACTTATGTTTCAGTAATTATGTTTATTTGGTGCTGTATTAATTGTATTGAATAAGCAACCGTTGTTTATTGTACTAAAAGATGTTATCCAATTCAAAACAAAGCATTAATTTCTTATACCACAGTGGGGAGGCTTTGCAATCACAAGTATTAGGTGTTTATTTTTGGCAAATTTCAAGTGCGCAGTTGAAGCTACCGAAAGTGGCAGACCGTAACCTTCGGGCAGCTAATTAATAAGCCAGAAATAGGAAAGTTTTGTCATTTAACCTGAGCTTAATTAAGAAGAGCCAATGCCAGAAAGTCAGGGCAGAACTGTTCGTCTGACAGAGCCGAAAAGTTTTTCATTTGATGTCGTGTAGACGTCATAGTTATGGTCGAAAGGGGATCACTCAGCACTTCCTTGGGCTTACCTTAAAACGCATTGCAGAGCTGCCGCCAAAGACAAAAGTTTGCTACTTAATTATTGTTGATTTTTAAATGATTTCATTTGCCGCCCGGGGGCAACAAATGTCAACCGCAGACAAAAGTTGCCCGCCTCCACCTCCATTACCCAAAATGATTTTCTTTTTCGGGCTTAGTTGTGCTCGAAATCTAATTCAATGTTGAGGACGACCAAAAGAGGGGACAGGGAATGAGTGTCAAGTGCAGAACTTTACTCAGCAAAGTTTAGCTTTGCATATCATTATGGCTTTTTGATAGGGTGAGCAATGTCCTTAGTCATCTAAATAATGTGGCAGTGGGGTGGTCTGTATAACTAATGAAGTTTTCAGGCGTTCGTCCGTAGTCGATTTTCAAGAGAGAACTAGGGGAGCCATTAATATCATTGGGTTAATGAATTTTTAAAAACAAAGTATTTTATCAGTATATATTAATATTTAGTAGAGCAGGTTCAATATTTCAGGATATATAATTTGTTTCAATAAAGAATATAGATTTCTAAGTTATTTGGTGTTTAAAAAATTTGTTCGAAAAAAGAAGATCTTTTCATTGAAAGTTTTATTGTGACTTAAGAAAAATAGATAGACTATAGTATTATATAGTATAGTATAGTAGTAGCTCACTCAAGCGGATTAGTTACACAATACAAACATTGTGCCTCAATCTCTACACGCTTCTTCCCTTGATCATCCTGAAAAAAGTCAGGAAAATCGGAACAATTGCAATTTCGAACCCAAATCTGACTGTCACATGAGCTCAGCTCGGCTCAGCTATCATTCTCCTCCGCTTTCCCACATCCTTCTATCGATAAAACTCGACAGGCAAATGCAAAATGCAATTAATTTTATTAGAGTCCATTGAAAACTCATTGGAAAAACGGTCCACAAAAGGGGGCTTGTGCTCGGAAGGTTGCCAAGCCAAGAATTTACGGCCCGGCCAAGGCTTCACTTACAATGCAAATTTTTCCAGACAGCACAGAGGAGACAAGGAAATTATGATGCGGCTCGGCTGCAGAGCTTACTCATGGGTTCTCTGGTGGGGTTGGGGACCGGATGCAGAGCCTTGAGCAAATAAAGATGTTTTTTCCATGTTTCGCAGACGCCAGTAGCAGCATCAATACGCATCAATCCCCGCCTGCATACCCGTGCCCTGCAGCTCTAGATTCAGTGCACCCCTTTCTCATTCGAGCAGTCGCCTAGAACGTGCTTAATCTGCAATCAGAGGCGGAAGTTGGTCTCCTACTCAGCCCTCTCTATTGGCCCTCTGTCCTACTGGCTTTTCGTCCACCTTACAGTCCTGTCCCCGTCTATATTTCAGTTGCAGTCTGAGCCCCGCCTTGATACCCTCTTAAAGAGTATCATAAGTTGCACTTTAAAAAGTTTAATACATATCTTAATTACATTAAACTCATGTTGTTTTATTAAATTCAATATCTTATAAAAGAGAATGGTTATAAAATGTATGATAACAAATCAAATGTGTGATTCCCATCGTTTTGCAAACGGTAAAATTAAATAAAATTACTTAAAGCTGTTTTAATTGTAAGGTCAATAAATTTAACCTTTATTTTAATATTTATATAAACTAAAAAAGTGTATAAATTCCTTCTAAATCTTAAAACCCCCGTTTAAGGGATCCTGCATTTTTTTTAAACACTTCAAGAGTATAGATGTCTTCGTTGCACAACTCCCTTACCATCATCCTTTGATGACTAGTGCATCCTCGTTGTCCTGGTCGTTGTCATTGCAGTCGCAAAACGGGAGCACGTCTGGCCCTGCCACTCCCCCTGCGCCGTCCAACGCCCCTTTAACCCCTTCTGGCCACCAAAGCCACCAGCTCCCAGTTGTCAGCTCAGCTCAGTTCAGTTTTTGCTGCATTGCAGGCGCACTTTCATTTGCATATTTCGCAAAAGGAAGAAGAAGGAGAGGAAAACAAAAAATATGCCATAATGTGTAAGAAAAGATGAGAGCTGCAAAAACTTGGCAACAATCGATCGAATCCCATTGAGTCTGTTTCTTGTTAGATGGTTAATCGCAGGGCGCATAAAGTCAGAAGTTCCGATATCGATTCGACTTGAAGGAATTTTGTGACAATATTTATGCTAGGAATTTGTTAGCTTGGCAAAAAGCGCAAAAGGCAATTGTTGTACGGCTTTTCAAGTTAATCCTTTCAGAGATATCGGAAATTGTATTCTTTTGTTGTTGTCTTCTATTATTTCCTATAATTACCTCAATTTGAGTTCGGCATCAAACCGAAATGACTAATGCCTGAAATTAATCAGGCCAACCTGAGTCATCCATCAATGGAATATGCATAATGCACATTATTTTCTTTAATTAGAAAATCAATTAAATTACTCCACACAGACACAGCTGTAATAATATAATTAAAATTCACTTCGCCTTGCAAGCGGAATAATGTCAAAGACGTCACTGCATGAGTCCCCAATTATCCCCGACCCATTGCCCCTCTTTAATGCGAAATCAATTAAATCCATTCAAATTAAACATGAATTTTAACCATTTATGATTAATCACATTGCGGATGGCCAGCCAATTATCCAAATCGAAAGGTGTCAGAGCGTGGAATAAATGTTTCAAAAATTTATATTGCCTATTAAAATTTTTGAATAAATATATTGATAGAAGAAGTTAAGATGTTTAAAATTCATTTTATATTCAATTACATTTTAATTATAATAAAGCTAAATACTGAATACAAATTTTTTTGAGGTAAAATGTACGCAACATAACAAAAACACACGGTTAAAAGAGATTTATAGAAATAAATAACATTTTTATTTAGCTATGCCGAAGGTAGCCAAATGTATAATATCATCCTGAAATTATCCATACGTAATTCCAATAATATTGTACAGAGAAAATCGTAGGTATAGCACATGCACTTATTTACTATTCATTCCATTGGCCAATAAGCCATCACAAAAGCCGTCAATCTGTTGGCACCTCCCAACCTCGGTCCATTCAATGGGTCCTTAAGAACACTTTAACCCCACCTAATCGCTAGAAAAGGCACTTAATAATACTTATAGGTATTTATGATGCCCGAGCAAACCGAGCGAAATCTTTAATAAACTCCACTCGAAGGAGCCTCCAGTGTTTGGCGTCTGCGAGAACTTTCATTAACCGAATAGGGTGGATATCGAGTAGTGTGGGGTGGAGTGGAGTGCGTGTCGCTCAACATTAGTTTCATGTGCTGCCAATAACTGTGTACTTCCCTCGGACATCGGTGCTCGCTCTTTGTTAGTTACAATTTGGTCAGAAGTGTGCGCCACGTTAACTTAATTTCATTATTTGTTGCTCGCTTCCAGAATTTTTCCCCTCAGTGCGGCATGCGTACGTGACCTCATAATAGGAAAATAAGATTTCTATCTATAATTCAGACAACGCTCGCTCCAACCCAAGCCGGCTAAGTGCCAGCAAATAATAATCATTTCAGTTGCCCCGTTTGTCTAGACAGAAATGGTATTTGTCAGTCATTATTATTTCGCTCCACTGTCGCAATTGAGCGTGGAAGGGAAGCTAAGTTAAATAGTAAACACAGATCTGCCACAGAAACTTTTTTGCTTTGACAACTCTGCCGCAAAAGGAAACGGAAACGGAAATGGCAAAAAACTTGAGCATGTTTATTTATTTAATTAAATGCGGCAGCAGGAAAGTTTCGCTGGTGTTTTATATATATATTTTTTTCCTGTTTTTTGACCTGCCTCTCGGCAATCAAGCTAATTAAGTTGAAGGTTTTCGCATACACACAAAAGATTAATATTAATAAAATATATTAATTGTGGTCGGCGCTAATGAAAGATGTGCAAATAATTGAATTGAATTTATGGTTCAGTCAACTGTAACATTCATTAGCTGTGAAATGTGACAATCATTCAAACGGATGCTGAGTACTTTAGCAAAAACTATGCATTTTTTTCTGCTCCATCAGAACAGATTAGTAGCTTTTAATTTGTTTCAGAGCTTTACATTTTTAATCATAATTAAGAGTACATCAAAATAATTTGTAACATTAAGCTTTAAAAACTGTAGCAAAGGGCTTTAGTTTTAAACAAATGCTAAACAATATTAAAACATTTTCATTTAATGAGGATATCTAAGACCTTCAGTCAACCTCAATCGACAACTCCGTCATCTCGGCGAATCAAAAATCTCTTCCTAATTCCCTCTTCTTGTGGTTAGCCGCGACTTTCGCTTGTTTGCCAGTTAATTTTGTTTAGTTCTCGCGCAGCAGTTTGTTGAACTTAATTAAAAATAAATAACAGGCAGTGGTGGCAGTAGCAAACTTGTTGTTTATTAATGCCCTGGCAAGGTCTTGAGGGCAGAAGGGATTTCCTGATAGGATTTATCCCGACGACCTGACAGCCTTGACTTTGCCTCTGACTTTCTCAACTTATAAAAGTTTTGAAAGGCTTTCGACGATCGATTATTGAATGAATTTCAAATGAGTTATCTCGCAGGGGAACACATGGCGTATGAATTATATTTGAAGCAGTTTATAAGTTTATTTTTGGGGTTAATGAAAATTTTGGACTTTTATCTTACCGTAGCAAAGTTGGAGCAGCAGGAAGGCGAAAATGCCGTAAGCGAAGGAATATCGTCTGTTTATTGCAGGATCCATGCTGCGTGTGCTTCTTTTATTCTGTATTTCGCTGATAGTTTTTCTCTGCTAAAACTTTAATTTTTCAATTTGTTTCGGAATTTTCGGCTATTTTTCTTGTCCATGCTCGCGCTTTTCTATGTTTGCCTTTGCTTCGTTTGCGTTTTCTTCCTGTCTCATTTGTGCAATGCAATAAATTTTCTTTGACCGCCAACGAGGGAAAGCGTCAACCAATTGCTTTTCTTGTTGTTGTGCTTGTCGTTGTCGTTGGCTTATTTATATTTATTTTCCATGAGCTCGTTGCTATTTGCTTTTCCTATTAAGCGTTCGCCCACACACACACACATCTATGGGCTATGGACAGTCGCATTTACATGTTCTGTCCTGCCACTATTTGTATTTGCCTCCCTAGTTTCGCTTCCTTTTTTTCTATTTCAGTTTAGTTTCCTGCTCTGTCATTTTTTGGGTCTCTTATCGTTCCGAGTTTAATTGAAAGATCAGCAAAAGTTTCCGGGGACAATCTGTAAACGAAAGAAAATAATGAAATATTGTATATTTGTCTTACATGGAGCTTAGTTTTGTGAGCCAACTTAGTTTTTTTATAACTATTTAATCATTGTCTTAAATGTATGATTTGCGTATTGTCTATATTTGTAACAGGTAAGGGCATTTGCCATTTTCTTTTGTTTTAATTTTAATTGTTAATTAATGTTTCCGGCATCTATTTCTGGTTTCCTGACAGTTTGTTTTTATTTATGGCAGCCCAAAGGTATTTTGCGGGCCATTACCTTTTACTGATCTGCATAATAATCATAGTATTTACGCTTGACAAGAATTTTATCAAATGCCTTTTATAAAGTTTGTGGAAGTTGGAAAACTAAAGTTGAATTTATTTTCATGACATATGTAAGTATTTAACATTTTTATTAAACATTTTATGGTCTTGCCTTCTCATCTTGACCTTTAATGAACAGAAATATTTGTGAATTCCAAACGGTTATGAATATTATATAGAATATTTGAAATAAGCGTTTAGAAGGTACCCCAGCCTGCCCCACAGCTCAGGAAATTCCAGTTGCAAATGTCCCCAAGCTGACAAAGACAATCGCTCGAAATTGTCAGCTCACAGAAACAAGAAACCAAATGAATTAATCATACAATTTATGGCCAATAACAGTTAATTTGAATTAAATGCTCTCCGAACCGAAAGCCCTAAGGAAGAGCCCTGAGCTCTGGCTCAAAAATCATTGAGCAAAGGCATAAATTAACAATAACATTGTACAGCCTGCGATTGTGTAATTGTTCTCGGGCAGGCAGAATTAAATTTGCATAAAATCAATTAAAACCAAAAACTCCCGGAAAGCAGCCAGGCACTTTGGGGCAAAAATCTGTGCAAGCCTTTTGGGCAGAAAGTTTTCCAAAATCATGTTTTGTAATTAGAGGCCATGAATAATTTTAGCACCTTGTTGTCATCTATTTTAAGAGCCACGCACACACTGAGTCACATGTCGAACGGTGAGTGGCTTATGCAAAATAGTCAAGTCGGACCCTGAGTACACACACGCTGCGTATACTTGATGTTGGCTCCCGAGCCAAGTCTTTTGCATAATTAATTATGTGGCAGGCATAGCACTGGCTTGTTAAATATGCAAATATTCGTAGAACGAGGTCTAAGCGGACTTAGACACCGCAGGTCACTCACATCTTGGCAATCTTTGCTACTAGATTTCTCCTCTTAAATTGCGTTTCCCATCGTAGGCCATTTTGAAAGTGTTTTTTGCCCGAAAAGCTTTAAAGAGATTTCCCTACAAGGCCATGTCCAATGGCTTGTCGCAACACACACACACACACACATACAACACACTTTTATTGGGGGCCACAGAAAAGGGGAATATAGGGGCTTAAGCGCCTTGTATGAGAGCTCTCTGAATGCCGAATGAAGAATTGACTGAATGGCCATACGAGAAATGCCTCAGTGACTGACTGACTGAATGACTGGCATTGCCCTCTGCGTGAGTGTGTGTGCTGGCCATTGTGGGTGCTGTGCCAGTGAGTGTGCGTGCTCCGGGGGCCTTGAACAGCCCTTGATGTTAGTGCCATAAGGCAGAATTTGGCTTTAAAATTTAAGACCAACAAGCTCAGAGTTTAAATAGTAAGTTGGGAACAACTACAGGAAATTTTTTAAAAATGTATAATAATTTGTTGAAATGCCGAGAGAAATAGTCATCTTTAAATGTATAATATTAAACACTGATTTTAGTTTATCTAACACTACACATACATATGTGTAAGCTAATAGCTGCAGCCATGAATTAAAATTTAAGTGGGGTTATTTTGCAGCAACGACCTCAAAAATATCACATAACAATAAAAAAGCAATAAAAGTCATGAATCAAGAAACTTAAATTTCAACTGAGTATATTTTTTCATGAAAATACTAAAAACAATTTAACAAATCACAGCAATATCATTGACAAACAAATATTATTGCCCCCAATAAAATAAACTGCCCAAAATTAGCAAGCTAAAAAACAAACAAAGTACTTTCCAAAAAATTTGGCCCATATTTCTTGTCCTCATAATAAATAAAAATAAATATTTCCCATAACCGCAAGCATAAAAGCAGAGCCAATGATATAAATTTCAAAATTGACCACCGGAAAATCTAAAATATGTTTACTCTCAAAAATGAAAGCGGAAATCTTTTTATTTATCGCGATGTTTGAGTTTTAAGTGTCAATTGATAAGGCCATAAACGGCAGCGAGCCATGGAACTGACCCCAGCGTGAGTTTGGACCTTAACGATCTGCTGGTAGGTCTTTTCTCCCTTCTTCCACAATTTCCCCTCCAACTCCCTTCAAACAAAATGAGACTAATAAAAGGTCATAACTCAAAGCCAGGCCAAAGAATGTCCCAGCTCAGCGACTCAAATTAATTGGCATTGTACGGGAATGTCATATATACGGCGGAAAATCGAGGTGTCCACACGGCTGCGGACAAATTTATAAGGCCTATAAAGTGCTTAGTTAAACTACACAAGTAAAGTAATCGACAAATATATACATGCATCGACTTGGTATCTAGCTTACAAAACTAAAATTTCTAGAATGAAAATTTAAATATGAATATTTGTTAAAGAAATTTTCTTAAATATATATATATAAGTTAATTCAATTTGAGCTGATAAGGTAACTAATTCCAGTTACTTCATGATTTTCTTTTATTTATGTTATTATTAATTTATCATTCAAATCTTTAAAAAAAAAAGAACCGAAATTTGATAAGGAATATACTTCAAATTTAGTAACATATTGTTGGCATTGTTCTGAGTATTACCTTAAGATTTCAATAAACCATTAATATCTATTTTAATACCCTCTAAACATAGCTATATATTTTGGGAGTTTACAATCAACCATAATTTCTGGTTAGTCAATATCATTATGTTCCTGGCTGTCCTTTGCTTATAGTATATTGCTGTTTGCCCGTATCCGGCTATAGAATTTCATAATTATAATAATTTATGTTGACACCTGAGGCGTGTGCACAAATTGAACTGGCCCCAAGGTCCGCGCCAAGTTAATAAAACTTTAAGTTACAATTTGTGGGTATATATAGGTATGTTTGTGTGTCTCTCTCTCTATCTCTCTCTCCCTCTTTCTTTTAGCCTGGAAAATCCCTGGAGAAATATGAGGAAAATTGTATGTCGCATAATACTCACTTATTGCTGCTATTTCTGTTGCTGACGATGCCTTTTCTTTTATACTTTGTTTTGCTCTATTTATCAGAGAACTTTAAAGAAGGTCGCCTCCGCACCGGCTTCTGAGTTCGGGAGGAGGGATTTTTGGGTTGGGGGCTCGCTGGTTTTGCCAAGTTCAGCTTTCGCTCTCACACTGTTTTTGCTTGCTGCTGGCCCACGTGCATAATAATAACAAATGATTGGTTGTCACGCACGTAACGGTACTTTTATTCATAATTTATGCATTTTAATTTGTCAAACTAAGTATGAAAACAGCGGGGGGAAACTCCACTTGCTTATGAAAATGAATTCGGTGAATTCCAACTGGAGAGAGATTAGTTTCCTTTTTCGCCCAAGTGCATTATCTGTTCCTTGTTTTTCCCTATTTTTCTCGCTTACATTTTATTCATAAATTGCCTTTTCACTGCAGCTGCCACGCTTGACACAAACACACACACTCGCACTCTCGCACGAATGTCCTCGGTTGTATCGCGCTTTTCAGGACTCGGGACTGGAGCAAAATGGATTGGAGCGAATCGAGAACGGAGAATCGAGAATCGAGGATAGAGGAAATGCCGCACACGGACTTGTGTCGCCTTCGCCAACCACACAGCACCAATAACCGACCAAGACTAAAAGCTTTGCTCTCCTTATTACCTGGTTTTTACTTGGCGCCCAACACGCACACCCCCGCACACCCAACACACACACGAGCCAATTCACGAGCTCCAAAACGACGACCGGATATCAGGATAAAAGGCGAGCAAAACACGAAAAGTTTCGAACACAACGCACAAACTGGTTCGCATTGTCTGAGGTTGCGAAATTACGAGAGATAGACAGAGCCATAGAGAGAGAGAGAAAGAGAGAGCTCTCCGGAGAGAAAGTAAGAGAAAGCACAGGGGAGAGCTCGTTTGGTGTTCGTGATTTGTTTGTTTCAATTCCACGTTCTACAGTCGTATTTCAACAGCCATGTTAGCCAAGTTAACATCATTATCTAGTGGGAAGTTTTTATGGCAAAATAGTGGGAAAATATTTGTGCTTAGAGCAATAACAGAAGAGCAATAGAATTCAAATTCTTTGCCAAAACCTTTTATTTAGCAATAATTCAATATATTTAGGATAAGCTGCCATTAAAATAATTACAAGTTTTTATATACAATTAAATGTACTGAAAGTACTACATTAACAATAGTATTCAACAAATTTTATTTAAAATGTAAATTTGTAGTTTATGTAAATACTTCATGTTACTAAATTTTAATTTAGTTTAAGTACTAGAAAAATTATTTTTTGTGATAAGATACAAATATAAAGACCGATTTATTTTAAGCTGTTTATGCAATGGCCCTTAAATTTTAATTTAAACTACATATTTAGAAATATAAGCTTAGATTTCGAAAGTCTGCTAAATAAGTAGAATTTGTTCCTCCCAATAACTCCATCACTTCGCCTAATAAACCCGGATATGTTGTTCGTCAAATGTCTAGTTAAGTCCTCGTAGAGCCTGCATCAACAGCATTTCCTTTGATACGCACACAACATCGGTAAACAACGAAAACAATAGGAACAAGTGGAAGAACAAGGAGAAGTGTAAGAAAAAAATGGAGGAGTTGAAAAAGGAACACAGATCCTGGCCCAGTGAGGCATCAATAGAAAATACCAATAACATCGACATCATCCTCCGCATCATTAGCCCAAACAAAAACTGCTGACTGGGGCACAATGCCAGCAAGCAAATCGGGTGCGGAGCGTTTTCCCCCAATCCAGTCTGCCAGAACCCCTATCCCAAATCTTCTATCCCCAATGCCCCCGCTCACATCTCTTCCAGACCATCTTAACCCTAGCTCGAGGGGCTACAACTTTTTTTTTGTGCTGCACATGCCCCGCTGGCAATTTGAAGTTGAGCCAGCAGCTAGGAGTTCTCCTCTTACCAGTACTTTTCCCATCTTTGCCCCTTCCTTTTTCTACACAGAGAAACAAATGTTTACTCAAAGGAACAATAAAATCCTCAAGGAGACCTCATTTGTTTAATTTTAGTTGTACAAGTTGAAGACTCTCAAAGAAGCCGTAAATATTTTAAATTTTAAGTTGTTATACTATTAATAATTACTTAATAAAAAAAAATGTGAATCATTTTTATTTTTTTTAATTTTTTCAATTATAATATTTATCAATTCTTTTATTTGCAGTGCACCTGCTGGCATCGGCTCATTGACAGTCATAACGCTGAAATGCGCCTCAACTTGAACTAATTTGTGCGCAATTTGCGCGAAGAAAGGCGTCGGAAGCACCAAAGGCAAAGCGAAGAGAGAGGGCCATACAGATATAGCCAATGAATGGGGAAAGAGGGACGGGGAGACCCTTGGTGAAAGAGACGGCAGATGGGCGGAAAAGAATGGTAAGCATTTGCACTTTTACTTAAGCGTAAAACTTTTCTTTTGCAGGTTGCAGCCAACTAATTTTGCTTCCTTTTCCCCGAATGGTTGGAAAAAAGTGATGGTGGCATAGAGACATTCAGAGATAAGGAGAGATAGAAATACTGTTACTGATTGCGTCAACTTTTTCAGCAACTTGCTTTGTTTCAAGTTGTTCTTTTACTCAGGAGTTTTCGATAAGGAAGTATATAGGACTCTGGAATAAATTGGATTCTTCAGAAACCTGTAAGCTTAGCAAAATTTAAAATTTCAGGCAGTAGGAAATACAAAAACTAAACATTTAATAAACAACAAATTTTAAAAAGTTTGAAAATTGTTTTTGCAGGTTTAAATAAGTTATTACTTATCCTTTTTAAATTTATGATCTGGTTGTGCGAATGCACATAACGTTTTTAATGAGTGTATTTTTGTCTATGTAATATCATTTTCGACAAACAAATTTGTTTCATATTGTTTTTGTGTGTCCCTGCAAATTGCATAAATTTGATTGTTTGAAATTCAGCGTAGGTGAGAAAGACCTATCCAGAGCGGACTGATCCTGTATATTACCTCTCCCGCCAGACCGTATTAAGTTCGCCCCTTTGTGAGGTAAATCCAGTCCCTAATTGTCTTCGTCATGGACTGATTGAATCTCTTACACTCCACAGGCGGCTTTATTATTTAACGTTTCAATTACACGGCGACGAGTCTCAGTCGTAGTTCTACTCAAAATCGGAAAGTGGCATGTGAGTTGGAGGATTGAGAGTCCTTTTGCCAAAGGACGAGGCAAAGGCTATTTAGCATGCAAATGCGAGTCAGTGCCAAATAGTTGAGACTCAGTTTTAGTCGGAGGCAGTATCTAGTTTGCATACAAATGGATTTTCTTTATGTTTATGGTGCGAGTGCGACGTAGACTGGAAAATAATTTCGCAAATGTTTCATTTGATTACGGTATGAATCTTTTCTTGGATCTTTCAATCTCTAATAATCTTTTATGTCAAATGCAAATGAAGGTTTTTGGCCGTGACAGCGGTTACCCAAATTAAGGTTTCAAATTATACATTTAACTGTTATTTAGATTTTCTTTAAGGTTGAAACAATGGTATAAGTCAAAAAAAAAATATATAAAAATAGTTAAATTTATATTTATTATAAAAGTTCTATATTTTAGCAAGTTAAGCGTAATTTTTTATTTCTTTGGGTCTTATCTTTTGCTTGCATGATTTTATATCAGAACATAAAAAATTGAGTTTTCACTTACCAATTCACGTACAATTAAGTTTATTTTATTTTTTATACTCCACTTTATGGGCACAGTAATTAAGAACCTGCCGAATAAAGGAACTCAAGCCTCTGAGGAAAAAATTTCACTCTCCACAAACTATTTGCCGGAGGAAAAACACAATTTAGGCAAAAAGAAAACCCCCATTCGAGCGCAACGAAAGCGACTCCAGGCTCATTGTCGTGGATTTTAAGTGTTGAAAACAATTGAAAGTGTTGGCAGCTGTGCGCCGTGTTGATAAGGGAGGGGGTGGTGCAGCAAACACGACATGCAAACTCATAAATGCGGCCGCAAAAACACAGTCGCACACACATGAATGCAATGCATTTACAACTGCCAGCCAGCAAAGGCAGCAGAATCAGAAGTAGTAACTATAACAAAGAACTCGGTCATTTGGTGCACAAAACGCAGCCAAAAGCACGCCCCATGCTGCTAAATGCTACACGAAAAAAGGAGCAGACGGAGAATTAAAACTGGGAAAAAGGAATGCGGCAAAAGGACGAGGAAGCACGCACAACCAGCACCCTCAATTGCATGCATGCATGTGTGTTTGATGGGTGTGAAATGTTTGCCAAGCAGGCTTCAAAAAGTGCCAGAATCACTGGCGATCTCCATCTAGAAAATGCTGGAAAGTTAAAGAGCCTAATGGTAACTATACACATATTAGGAATTTGTTAAATGATGAAAATAAGCTTAAAAGTTATTTGTACTGATGACAATTTTCTAACGAGACGAGACTAGAGTTTTATTTGGATTGTAAATATTAAAGCTTATAATAAAATTAGAAATAAGTTATTTGAATTTTAATATTATTGTCATAGATTTGTTATTCAATTTTTGAGATATTTGCATAGACCATTCGATTTATTTTAAAGTAAAGTTAATATAATATTTTGTTAATATTAATTATGACACCAAGGCCGGGTGAATTCAAAAGAACTCCTCGAGGAGAACGTGCTGGAATTTATTTATTCGAATCAATTTAGCTGCAACCGTAAACTGATTAATGTTGAGTGAGGTGGCCGCAAAATTGTGAGGTTCCGCTGTTCGCATGCTATTTATAAGCCTGCGGCTTTCGGCATTCCAATGCATTGGCTTCAATGAATAATTAAGCGGTTGGCGCTGGCAGGATTAAGAAGCACCTCCAGCAGACCGCAACCACTCACTCGCACTTGTGAGGCTCCTTTGCCACGCCCCCTTGTTCGCCGCACCTAACGCACACACACACACTCACACACATGTTGGGCTAAGAAGTGGCAAGGATATGCGTGTGTGGGACATTTTTCACTTGTCAGGACATGGCGCATACGCCTCGTTAGCCAGGCAACCAAAAAACCTGAAAGCGAGAAACGCCATCTAATTTATAGAACGTGGCGGTTATTTCTTTTAAGTGCTCGACAAATAGAAACAACAAGCACAAAACACATTTCGTCACGTTCCCCAACAAGAGCCAACAGCCAACAGCCAACAGCCAGCAGCAGCAGCAGCATCAATATTTTTATTTGAATTCTGGCTCCCTTTTTGTTTATAATTTATTTGCATTTGCTCATTGAAATGCTGCACAAACCAAACGGGCCCAAGAGCCACGAGCCTCAAATAAATGGCAATCGTGGGAAAAGAAGGGGATTGATGGAACGCCAACTATATCATTTTGCTGCTCAGGGATACTTTTAAAGGCTATTTCAGTTTTGAAGGTTATTATGCCTGTGCCAATACGAATAATATTGAGTTTGCTTCACATAGTTTTTTCGCATACTTTTTTGAGTCGGAAAGTCAATATAATATATATTTTTAATAATAATTTAATATTAATATTTTATTGAATAATTTAATCAAAATGTAAATAGTAGCATAAAGGTAAAATAAAAAAATCGTGTATAAGCAAATGTTGTCATAATTCAATTAATCTAACGACAAA